GAAAAGTGTATAAGACACTTTTAAGATCAACTAAAAAGCTAAGCCCAAGGGAAGTCGTTCGGGGAGGCCCTCCCTAATTCCACAAGGGTGAGAAGGAAGACACACGATAACGAAACGTTGAATCATGTAGAAGACGTAGGGTAAATGCAAAGCAATTTATAGTAAGAATATGCAGTAAGCTAAGCGAAGAGGTAAGCAATACTATTGTTAGACTATACTATAACTACTAAATGTGTTAGTTCAACTACTACATACAAAAAAAAAAATCTACATTCAACAGTTACTTCAAATAAAATGAACAAAAATAAGTGTGCAAAATAAAAACTAATTCAAATTAACTACAAAATAAAAAATTAATTTGAATTTGGACTAAAAGAATTATTACTATCAGATAGAGCATGCAGTATAAAAGATCTATTTTAACTACGGGGTCTTCTTTGTCTTCTCCAGCGTCGATCTGAAACAGATACGGTGGTAACAGATCAATAAAGAGCAATTAAAATTAAATGTATCAAGTATTCTTACCTTAATTAACTGTAGACTGTAACGTTCCAAACTTTGAAGGTCTAAAAAGCAAACCAAATCCATAGCAAAATATTTGTTGTTTCAATGGAGTTCCAATAAATCTCTAGTTGTTCTTACTGATCGATCCAAATTTAACTGCATAATGTTGAAAAATAAACCGGAAAACAGCAAAACAAGAATGTAGTCCAAAAAATCCTTATTTGATTCATTTGTTGGAAAATCTGCAGAAATGGATAAAAAACGTATTCATTAAAAATTAATTACATTCCTGTATAAATTAGATACAAAATACAATACTAACATGTACCATGAGGAAGTAAAATAACTCAATTTATAATGATGACAGGGCGTGTTTCATAGACAAGTGTCTTTTTACATCATGACATAAATAATTGTGAATCGATGCACAATAAGGCTAATTTATGCGGCATACAGTAATTTTTTAAAACAAATGCCATTTATTCACGACAATTTGTTCTTAATAAATGAAGAAGTATGAAAGTATTTTATCACATTTCCGAAAAATTTTAAATCGATGTTCTGTTTCAATTTTGTAGTCTTGTTGTATCTATGGTCGATGGCACAGGAGACACTCCTTTTAATAATACTGTTACTTATAATTATTGCATTTTAAATATTTAAGGTTATTTAACAATTAATTTAAAAAATGGAAAGTGAAATATATGAGCAAGAAGCTGAGGGGCAACGTAAAAGGAGATCGTCAATATTTTTTGCTCCTGAAGAAGGTAAACATTATATACTGTGTACGATTTTGTCTTTTACAAACGTAAATATTTCAGAAGTCGTCGTTGATGTAAAATTTAGTAGAGTTCACTACCCTGCTGATTATTACAACAAACTACAGGAAGAATACAGGCAATGGAAAGAAACATTACTTGACTTAAAAAATAGTTTTCTTAACTCGAGGTAAAGTAAAGAGACTTAATAGTATCAGTTCAATAACAGAAAATTGATTTTAGAAAAGAATTACAAGAGAATAAAAAGCACCCAATAGACATGGCGCTACTAGATAAAGAACAGCAACAGTTCTTTAAAAATGTGCCAGCAGTTTACTTCAACTATATCAAAACATTTCAGGAATTCTTAGATGAGGTACACACTGCATCAGTTATATTTGAAAATGTTACAAAATGTAAAAAGGTGCTGGCAAATGATTTAGAAGAACGAGTAAAAAGTACCGACAAAAATTTAAAAGAACATTTGCGTACTGTTTGCAATAAGTAGAGTAAAATATTTCATAAACAAAAATGTATGTATATATAATTATTTTTATA